ATAAAAATTCTCCTGCCTTGGGGCTCTTGGTTGAGTAAAGGCTAGAGATGGTGTCTCGATAAAAACACTCATCTTGGGCAGATGTTAACTGCATCCAGCTACTGTCTTGTAGAAGGCCTCCTCGGTAAAAGACTTTAGGGGTAAGCAGAAAAATTCTGCTAACCTGCCTCGAACCCCTTCTTCATCTATTAGGCTGACGTAGATGTAACCTGTATTACATTGTTTCCTGCCTAGGATGATGAATGCTGGATCTCCTTGACTCTACTCATAGAATTTTGCTTATGCCTCCTTGATAATGGCTATGCAACTCTTCCTGTTATCTCCATATGAGGATACAGCTCTAAAACTCAGTTTAATGGTTCTGAGGCCGGCTGGTAGTAAGGTTTCCCGAACTCTATAATAGCTCTCAGAGAGGCTGATTCCATCAACAGCTGCAAAATTTCAGAGTATTAACAGTGCCATGTTGCGCATGGATTATGCCCCTGTTTGTACTTTTGGTGTACTTTGTCAAGGCTACATAAGGAGCCATATATCACGGCTTAGGGTTAATTAACAGGACTAAGACAACTGCATAGCTCATTGATTAGGAGGCTGTGTTCTATTTATGAATGAGTCAAGTTCTCATTAAACCCAAATCATGACCAAAGTAACCAAAACTTTTAAACCTAAAAAACCATCCCCACCACCTAAATGTTTTAATATATCTTTTACAAATATTCGCGGTCTGCAAAGCAACTTTCTGTCAGTTGAGTCTTACCTCCTGCAAAATTCACCAGACTTGCTTGCACTCAGTGAAACAAATTTAAATTCTGCAATTCCTTCTTCAGATGTCAGTGTTGATGGGTACTATCCTTTGGTTTGTAAAGACTCCAATAGTCACATGCTAGGTTTAGGGGTATACATACGCATTAATTCCCCTATTTGTCATGATATCAGGTTTGAATCCTTTGGCCATTCTTTTATGTGCTTTAGCCTAGCACCTCTTCATTCTATCACCTTTCTCTTTGTTCTTTATCGTTCTCCTTCTTCCCATGACTGCACTCTTTTAGATGTTATCTCTGATCAAATTGACCATGCCCTCTCTCTTTACCCTTCTGCTAATATTGTTGTTGTTGGTGATTTTAATGCCCATCACACTGAATGGCTTGGCTCTAACACCACTGATCCTGCTGGCACTAAAGCCTTTAACTTCTGCGTTTCTCAATCTCTTACTCGATAGTTAACTTTGTGACTCGTTTTCCTGACAACCCTAATCATTTACCTTCACTCCTTGACTTATGTCTTGTCTGTGACCCTAGTTATGTTCAGTTTCTCTCTTTTCTCCCTTAGGTGGTTCTGACCATGCAATGATCTCTATAAATCTTTCTTCTCGTACTTCTTTTTTGGGCTTACCTTATCACAACCTACTACTACCCTAAAGCTGACTGGGATTCTTTTCGTGATTTTCTTCGTGATGGTCCTTGGGCTGATGTTTTTTCTCTCTCAGCTGATAAATGCGCCTCCTACGTAACCTCCTGGATTCAGGCTGGAATGGAAGCTTTTATTCCTTCTCGTTGATTTCAAGTGAAGCCTCATTCTACTCCATGGCTTTTTCCTTCTTGTGCGGCTGCTATATCCAATCGTAGTCTTTTTTTTCATCTTTTTCAAAAGAATAACACTCTTGAGAACAAACGGCTATTTATTATTGCAAGAAATCAATGTAAAAAGATGCTTTCTGATGCTAAACTCCATAATTTTCAGTTCACTAAACCTCGCATCTTATCACAGAAGTTAGACTCTAAAGACTTCTGGAAAATCTTCAACAGCATTATTAACAAGGGTAGATCTAACATTCCATCTCTCATTCATGGGACTAATTTTATTACCTCTCCCAAGGATAAGGCAGAACTATTTGCAAAGAACTTTTCTTCTAATTCCACTCTTGAATCTTATGGACATTCTCTTCCTTCAATTCCAGTCAAACAGGTTGGCCCATTGTTAGACATTAAAATCACTCCGGCTTCTGTTGCTAAAGTCATATCTCAATTAAACTCGTCTACAGCTTGTGGTCTAGACAACATTCCTGTCACAGTCTCGCAGCTTGTTAGAAAATGGCATCTGTGGTTCCAATATTCAAAAACTCTGGAGAAAATTCTGACCCCTCCAATTATCGTTCAATCAGTCTTCTTTCTGTTATTAGCAAGGTCTTTGAGTCTTTGATCAACAAATTCCTCACATCTCATCTTGAGTCAAATAAACTACTGTCAGACAATCAATACGATTTTTGATCCTCTCGCTCTACGGCCGACTTGCTAACTGCTGTAACTGAAAGATTTTATCGTGCATTAGATGGAGGCGGTGAGGCTAGGGCTATTGCTCTTAACATATCTAAAGCTTTTGACAAAGTTTGGCATGCTGGTCTTCTCCATAAGCTTGCTTCATATGGTGTTTCTGGGAAAGTTTTTGAGATTATCAAATCATTTCTTTCTAACCGGTTATTAAAGTCATCCTTAAAGGCCAA